GATTCAGTCGAAACAGTGCTCTTTCACTAGAATTTTATCGCATGCATCCGCCTGGAATTGCAGACAGATTCAGTCGAAACAGTGCTCTTGTGAACGTATGCCCTTGTAAGAGCGATTGAGAGAATTCTCGTTACAGTTTATCACCCAATCGTTCTCTCAACACAGCCTGTGACACACTCACCGTGGAATTTCCTCATATGCATCCGCCTGATTCAGTTTTTTTCGCATGCATCCACCTGGCATTTCAGCCAGATTCAGTCAAAACAGTGTTAATGTGAACACATGCATGGAGAGCAATTGAAAGGATTCTTGTACAGTTTTTCACCCCTCTCGTTCTCTCAGCACAGCCTGTGCACCCACCGCATGAGCCTGAATGGTACACACATGTACTGCCTTAAAGAGGTAGTAGTACTAACGGATCAGGAGGTAGAACCCTGACTAAATCCAATAAATATAACACCGCAGCCTGTGTGCGCCCGTGTGCCGCCGTCAACACAACACCTGTGCAGTCCAAGATCCAGCAGGGGGGTGAATAAACTGGCATGAATTAGGGCATTTTCACACACACTGGCGTTTCTCGGGACGTATCTGACGCGAATCACGGCCACCTTCGGGTCGACAAAACCTTAGTGTGAGTAGGCCCCCTTGTTATACGCCACTGAAAACGACTTCTTCCTGGAATCCTTCACAAACTTTTTTTTTTTTTTTTTTTTTCCTGGAATCCTCCACAAACTAGTTCAGTGTTGATGAGGAACGCTAAACCCTACCAGGGAAACATTATGACAACTACCGTCTTCCCCCGAACATAACGCACGCTGAAAATGAACGTATACAAGCCGTCTTTCCGGTCCGATGCAGTCAAAAAGAGGGTGCATTGTGTTCGGGGGAAGACGGTAGCTTACCTGTGTTGCGGCTGCGCCCGCAGAAAAACATGGAAATATTGCAAAGAAAAAGCAAAGAGCATGACGGGTGTGGCGGCCTGAGTGCAGTTGGTTAGCAACTGGCCTATATTCTGTCCCAGATACATTCACATCTGTTACTTAACTTGTCAGGACACCTCTCCCCTGGTGCATAAGAAGTATTGTCTTTCAGATGTCAGAAAATACGCAATTCTTCGCATTTGGGGGTTTCTCTTTACACTTTGTGTTTTTCTTTTTCTGGGTTTAACGACAAAAGCAAGCCACGCCAAACTACCACCCTCTCTCTCTCTTTCTCTCTCTCTCTCTCTCTCTCTCTCTCTCTCTCTCTCTCTCTCTCTCTCTCTCTCTCTCTCTCTCTCTCTCTCTCT